AGAAAAGTCTTTGTCACAAAGGCAGAACAAAAAAAATTTAAAAAAAAGGAACGACGAAAAAAAAGTCCTTGGCATATAAATAAATTGTTTGATAAATCCTTAATCTTTTTTTGTTGGTTTCAAAGATGTGAGCCCATAGGCAAAAAAGAATTTTAGTCATATAGAACAACTCTGACATTTGTTACTGAAACTAAGCATATTTTTTTCTGAAAATGATTCTATATAACACTGATAATGCAATAAAATTCAAATGAAAATAATAGTAAATTTCAAATAGGCTTAACAGTTTAAATTGTATCATTTAACAACCCAAATTTAGCCAGGTAGAATTTTGAATCATATTCTGAAAATTTGGCAGTGTCTGTTTATCAAGCAGACACAGCACATCCACAGCTAAAGACTGATGCTGTTTGTCTTGTACTGTCGTTGGGACTAATTTTGTTGTAGAGATAGCTACATATAAAAGTTTGTCCTTTATTTCCATGGGATTGGTTCCAGGACACTCCCACCCCCCACCACCAATAGATACAAAATCCATAGATACTCAAGTTCCTTATGTAAGATGGCACAGCATTTGCACATAACCTGCACCTAGCCTCCATTATACTGTAAATCATATCGTCAGTAGAATGTGAATGGTGTGAATACTTGCTGTTCTGTATTATTTAGGGAACAATAACAACAAAAATGTGTGCCTGCTTAGAGTGGATGCAGATTTTTCAGTAAACATTTTCCAGATTTGGTTGGATGTAGAGACGTGCAGCTGTATTCTGAAATGCACAGATCCGTGCAGTGTTAGCAGAATACCACTGGGATTGTGCTTCTGGCAGAGGCTTAATGATGCTTCACTTGCTTTTGTAGCTCTTTATGTTAGCTTGTCTTGTTTTTACTTCAGAAGTAGAGTTAATTTGATTTTCATCTTTTTTTATTTTGTGCTACAGGCATTACAAAGTAATAACCATTTATTCCTTACTGAGTGTTTCCCCCCTTCATTCCCAACCTCATATGTTTGTAATGCTCAAATATCTTTGTTGGTCGCCTTTAACTAATGCTTTTCAGCAGCCCCTGGCTCAGCTCCTGGTTCCCAGTATGGCACAATGACCAGGCAGATTTCTCGACACAACTCTACCACTTCCTCGACATCTTCTGGTGGATATAGACGAACTCCCTCTGTGACTGCCCAATTTTCTGCTCAGCCTCATGTTAATGGAGGTCCACTCTATTCTCAGAATTCAAGTAAGCTTGTGTTTTGCAGGCATACAGCAATAGTGGAGCTCCTCTGACAGAAATTACTTGAAACTGTTACTTTTACCTGTGATAGACAACAATTTGAACCATGCTGTTTCATGTTAATCCTTGAATAACCATTTTAAAAGTAATTGCTTATCACTTTCATCTCCAAAATTCACTTGAGTAAACAGTTTTCCAAAAAACAAATGCTTCCATGTACTATTAGTATTTCTACAGTATAATTTGAATTAGAGAACAAAAAAAACTTAATTCTATTGGCATGCTTTCAGTAGTTTAGTAATGATATAAAAATAAACATTGTGAATATTTTCTTTTAAAATAATAAAAGAAATTGCTGGCTATCACTTTTAAGGTCATGAACTTAATTGAAATGCTTCAATTGAGAATTTTTGTAGTATCTGCTTAATTACTCTCTTTCAATAATTCTAACAGTGGGGAAGGATTTTCTTTTAATTTCCTTCTGTTCACTTCAAATTGCACATCTCAATACTAATTACTCACAGGATTATAAAATAAAAATAGAATTAGAAAAATTATGAAGTGTGGGTTTTTTTTTTTTTTTTGAGAGACAGTTTTCCTGTAGCCCCAGTGGCCTGGAACTTGATATGGAGAGCAGACTGGTCATGATCTCACAGAAATTCACCCGCCTCTGCCTCTGGAGTGTTAGAAATATTAGAAAATTTGAATATCTGAGGATAGTCATTAAGTTTGCTTTCCATATCAAGAAGCTAAATGTTAAAAGGAAACAAAACAAAATTCAAACTAAGCCTGTTGTCCAGTATTTGTTTTTGGCTCGAAGTTGTGGTTACTGGGCATGGGCTGAAACAGGCTTTTCTGTGGTACCTTTTTTCCTTTGTAGCTATTTTCTCGAACTGAATGTTCTATAAAAAAATTGAATACTCTGTATTTATGTAGGAGTTTGGTGGGTTCTTTATTTAAATGCATATCCTGTATTTTTGTTGTTGTTTGTTTTTGGTTTTGGAGACAAGGTCTTGGTATGTAGCCCTACCTGGCTTCTACTTTGTAACTCAAGTTGACCTTGAATTTGCAGCAGTGGCCCTGTATTGGGATTACAGGCAAACACCACCATGCCTGGCTTAAGTAGAGCTATCCTTTAAAAACCCCTATTCTGTTATAGAGGTTTGTTTGTTTTGTTTAGATTTTAGAGTTATAGTATAAGTGTGTCATAAATGCTGATAACCACTCAGGCACAAAAGTCGACATTCATAGCTAATCCCAGATTTCTACAAGCTTTTTCCAGACAAACTTTTGTTCAAACTGCTAAGGAGTCGGGCATGGCAGGCAGATCTCTGTGAGTTTTCAAGGCCAGCCTGTTCTACATAGTGAGTTCCAGGACAGCTGGGGCTGCAGGGAGACCCTGCCTCAAAAAAGACAAAAAACAAAACAAAACAAACTGCTAAGGAATATTAAATGTCACCTGTTAGTACTTTACCTCACATTTTCCTTGGTGTCTTTTTGGTATTGGAAGGTAGCTTAGTGTCTGAATATGCCGCAAATTAATAATTTACCCAAGTTTTATGAGCTTCAGTTTCTTTCCATATTCTGCATTTTTAGATCCCATCTTTATGACCATTATTTTTCCCCTACTATTGTCTTTTAATTTACTCTGCAAACGGTTTTTATTTCATTTAAGCCATGCTTGTCTAGTTTTACCAGTGCATGTGGGGTTATTTTCAGATATTACACTTGCTTAATGAGTATCTACATCCTTTTGAAACTGGAAAGCAAATTTGGCCTCAAGTTTTAAGTATATTTTGTTTAATTATCCTTCAGTATGAGTTACTGTTGGCAAGTTTTAATAGCATGTGCTGTTTTTAGTGTTTTGATGTGCATATTTTCTTTTTGTCTAAGTGTGGTGCTGGTGATTAATCTTCATAGCATAGCTGTGCTTTTTCCTCACAACTAACTAATATAGCTAATCACCAAGTCTTGTTTCTAAAAAATATTTTGGTTAGTGGGAGCCTTTTTGGTTGTTTTTGGTTTTGTTTAATTAATACTTTCTAACCTTTTTAGCATGTCTTCTCAGTTAACAGAATGAAAGAGGATCAGTTTCTTAGTGAACTGAGTGCTATTTTTACCCATATACTGAACATTAGTACACATATATTGCACTAATATTGAACCCTGAACCTCTTTCAAATTTTAATGCTCACCAACAGTTTGTATACTGTATTAATTGGAAAGCATTTTGATAAAATGATCATTGAAAATGAATAAATTGTTTTTCTTGGTCCATTTAGCATTACTTTCTGGCCACTACCAGTAGGTTGAGCTAAGCCTGTTGGTCTTTTCTGAGTCATCTTTGGTAATTACTGTTTTGTTAAAATGAGACAAAGATTGGCTTGTTTCAGTCTTTAATACTTTTGTTGGCTATGTGAGCATTTGATATCAGCTTCCTGTAAATTACATCCTTTCCGAAGAAAGGCTTGAGCCTGTCTCGCTACCCATAATTCATTAGAAATTAATACAGTGCAAATAATTGTGGATTTTAAGCTATTAAAGATCAGGTTTCCATTATGAGACTGATAGAAATAATTTTTGATACCTTATCTTTGGAACTGAATAACTAATACATAGAGCACTCTTATTCCTTAATAAGTTTAGGAGTAATTTCTTTAAAAATAAAACTGCCAACTTAAAAAATAATAAAAATCTTGCTTTATAAACAAGAGTGCTTCCTGGAGAGGGTTGTGTAATTTTAGATACATAACGAACTTTCTTTAAGGAAACTTGTGATTAATATATTGATTTATTTTTGTATTTATACATGTAATCAACAACTATTACATATTTGCTTTATTTGGTTTTGAATTTACAACATTAAAGACAATCAAATCTATTGACTTACAGCAAAAACCTGTAGAGATTTCATTATTGCTTTAGAAGTCTTTCCTCACTGTGCTAAAATGATACAGTAAATTAAAAATTTCCCCCAAATAATATGAATACTAGGATCAAATTAAATGTATTTGCCCTTTTATAAAAGCTTTTAACAAGTTGGCTAATCATAACTTGGCTTTAGGTTGGTTTGTGGGACAAGAACTTGAAGAAGGTTCGGCAGGGTTTTTCGTTTGTTTTTTTGTTTTGTTTTCATTTGCAAACTGTTCTTTGCATACTTATTTATGTTTGTGGTCCTTGTAACTGACTTCTGCTTTTTGTTTGTTTCCTTTTCTTTCCTTTATTTGTTGACTTCCCCCATACTGTGTTGTTGCTACCAGTCTCTATTGCTCCACCCCCTCCCCCTATGCCTCAGTTGACTCCACAGATACCTCTCACAGGCTTCGTGGCCAGGGTGCAGGAAAACAGTAAGTTTGGAAACACTGAGCTGTCAAAGATTAGAGGCTGTCTCCTTATAGCATGCATGGCTGATGGGTCATCATTTTCCTTACTTTATTGAGAAGCTAATCTTATCTTGAAAAATAGGTGCAGATATGTTACTAAAACTGAAGAGCACGGTCTTCAGTTTTTTTCTCTTGTGTGCATGATTACTGACCATATCAATTTCCAAACTGCAATTTTAAGTATTTAGATGATTGAAGACATGAGATCTGATATTTGCATATTTTTAAGAAAAGAGTATTCAAGCACAAAAATGCAAATTACATGGAAATCCCTAATAGTTATTAGGAGAATTACAAAACATTTCGTAGCTGGGCATGGTGGTACATGCCTGTGATACCAGCACTTGGGAGGCTGAGACAGGACGACCTTCATGTGTTGGAGGCCAGCCTGCGTTTACGGTAGTGAGACCCTGTCTTAAAAACCAAACCAAACCAATTATATTCCAACAAATTTATCAATATATGACTATACTACAACTTTATTAGGAAATTGGGACAGATTTTTTTCTCCCTTTAGTTACAGAATATTTTAGAAAGGGCTAGTGAGATGGCTCAGTGGATAAGGGCCCTTGTCACCAAGCCTGATGATGACCTGAACTTGATCCCCAGAAACCAGAAAGTGGAAGGAGAGACTAATTCCTGTAAGTTGTCCTGACTTCCACACATGTGCTGTATGTAGTACATGCACCCATAACATAAACAAATGTGAAAAAAATTAGAGAATGGTTATAGCTTCAAATCTATAAAAAGTTTCATTGTTAAGACTGAATCCCCAAGAATAAGTAAATTACATGCATTCTGTCCATTTGGGGGTGGTTGATAAGGAAGACAGAGCTTGCTTCATCTTTTGGCAAAATGCAGACCCCGAAGGCTTTAGTTTTCACATATAAATTTGTCAGTTTTTTTTTTAGATCTTAGTGA